CCCTGACTGTATAGTGTAATGTACCGTCACGGTGTGCCCACCCTGACTGTATAGTGTAATGTATCATCACTGTGTGCCCACCCTGACTGTATAGTGTAATGTACCCTCACTGTGTACCCCCCTGACTGCATAGTGTAATGTACCCTCACTGTGTGCGTCCCCCCACTGCATAATGTAATATACCCTCACTGTGGGTGCCCCCCCTCTTCTGCCCAACTGCATAGTGTAATGTACCCTCACTGTGTACCCCCCCCGACTGCATAATGTAATGTACCCTCACTGTGTGCCCCCACCGACTGCATAGTGTAATGTACCCTCACTGTGTACCCCCCTGACTGCATAATGTAATGTACCCTCACTGTGTGCTCCCCCCGACTGCATAGTGTAATGTACCCTCACTGTGTACCCCACCGACTGCATAGTGTAATGTACCCTCACTGTGTGCCCCTGACTGCATAATGTAATGTACCCTCACTGTATTACTCCCCGACTGCATAGGTATGGCCGCCTCCTGTGTACCCACACCGACTGCATGGTGTAATGTACCCTCACTGTGTGCCCCGACTGCATAGTGTAATGTTCCCTCACTGTCGTGTCGTCCCTGACTGCAAGTGTAATGCCCTCACTGTGTGCCCCGACTTCATGGTGTAATGTACCCTCACTGTGTGCCCCCCTGACTGCATAGTGTAATATACCCTCACTGTGGGCCCCCCCGACTGCCTGGCATAACATACCCTCACTGTGTGCCCCCCTGACTGCATAGTGTAATATACCCTCACTGTGTGCCCCCCCCAACTGCATAGTGTAATGTACCTTCACTGTGTGCCCCCCTGACTGCATAGTGTAATACACCCTCACTGTGTGCCCCCCCTGATTGCTTAGTGTAATGTACCCTCACTGTGTGCCCCCCTGACTGCATAGTATAATGTTTCCCTCACTGTGTGCCCCCCTGACTGCATAGTATAATGTTCCCTCAATGTGTGCCCCCCATGACTGCATAGTGTAATACACTGTATGCCCCTCCCCCCCCCCCTGCACGGTATACTGCCCCCAGTTTGTCTTCCACTCTGATCCCATGACACAATTTGTTTTGTTTCTCCCCAGGTGAGTCTCCCCCATCCAGTCAGGAGATTGACGCCATGCGTTGGCTCTTCAGTTGTCCTTTTGACCCTGACGGTATCTCGGACGCGTCTTATCTTCACCCTGAGCCCTCTGACCTCCTGATAGAAATTGGCCCAAGGTGAGTTTCCCTGGCCTACAGCGTTTTCCCATGCCTTGCTAGTATTTAGAGCTAGTATACAATCTGTGTGTTTTCCTTCAGGATGAATTTCTCCACCGCAGCCTCCACCAACGCGGTTTCCATCTGTCGCTCTATCGGTCTCTCACATGTAGACAGGATTGAGTGTTCCCGGAGGTACTTGATAAAGGTAAGGCACTCACAGAGCTACACGGAGCAGAATAATATATTGTGCTGGGCCCCGGGAAGAGATTACAAGACAATGTAACAGAGAATAGGGAGTGTTTGTCAGCTGCTGTGGCGAGCACTGATACAGCACGATATTTCTATAATTCACTTATTAACTCATTCTGGTTCATGATGACCTTTCCATTTGTAAAATGAACTCGGGAGGTTTAATTCTGACTCTGGTTCTTCTCTTCCTATTGTCCTTATTATTATTCGGGTCCTTCTGGATGTCTCTTTCCCTAAACCTCTCCCACTCATGCTCTCAGTTCCAGACCCAACCAGAGGAGGACGAGTTGAAGAAGATCTCGATGTCTCTGTATGACCGAATGACGGAATGCGTCTACACTGAGCCTGTGACCAGCTTCGAGGTGTCTGTTCGTCCTGAGCAGGTGTATGAGGTGGATGTGCTGGGGCAAGGCAGGGCGGCGCTGGAGAGGGCCAACACTGAGCTGGGTATGTGTGACGCTTTTATAGCTTGTAATCTCCGGCCCCCTGGTGCTCTGGCATTGTGATTCTATCCTTTCTCTACCTGCCTTGGTCTGGCCCATGTGTTTAATGATATACTTTCCTAGAGATGTCCGCATTAAAGGAAACTAAGCTCTCTTTTCCTTATCGTTGCTGAAAAGACTTGCGTCTCCCCTTTCTCACATCTGTTTTTTGCTATTAATTCAAAACTATGGAATAGGTAAACAGAATATTACAAATCCTTTGAATTTAAGGTGCAGAATGCTGTAAAACACGTATTTATACCCCCAATTTTTTTTATTTTTTTTAAAAAAAACCTCTCCATAATTCGTCATGTCAAAAAAATGCAGCATTTCCTGGCATCCATAGCTGCGTGGCGTGTTTTAGGGTGTTTTTCTGTCTCTTAGCCCATTTGCACCTACTTCCTGATTTGTGTATTTCTTCGTTTTATTTTCGTTTTACAAATGTCTTGCTCATAATACATTAGAAAGGTGCAAAGTGCCCGTTTTTTCCCCCAGATATTTTTTTTCCGCCATTGTCAGTGGTGGATTTTCTGTGATGAATTAAAAATTACTTTAAAATACGAATGCATTTTTCTTTTCCTCTTTGCTTTGTAATTACTTGTTTTGCGTATTCAAAATATAATCTCTTCTTTTACCCGTTAGTGACCAGACCGCTTTTCAATTTTCTTACCGTTTAGGACCAGGGCTATTTTTACATTTCTGAGGTTTTTGTGTTTAGCTGTAATTTTCCTCTTATTCATTTGCTGTACCCACACATATTATATACCGTTTTTCTCGCCCTTAAATGGTCTTTCTAAAGATACCATTATTTTCATCATATCATATAATATACTTTAAACAAATTATAAAATATGAAGAAACATTTAAAAAAAAAACACTTTTTCTAACTTTGACCCCCAGAATCTGTTATGCATCTATAACCGCCAAAAAACACCCGTGCTAAATAGTTTCTAAATTTT